TTTTTTTTTTTTTTTTTTTAAGAGAAAGTGTTACATTTGGGTTGAGCCGAAATGCTCTGGGCAGAAGCCGTTTTGGCATCTTTACCTGAATTTATATATGGTGCTTAAAAGCTTGGTCAATCACTGCACAACTAGAAATTTGTGTTTGTGGGGTAGAGGATCTAGTTATAAAATAGGGAGACAGTACCTGAGAACCTGTTTAGTGAGTGTCTTTAAACTACTTTTGTAGTTGTCATTAAATACTGCTTTTGTATTCCTGTCATTGGTATTATATATCAAAATGATCATTTTAGGAAAGTACAGGGTAAGTCTGATATAAGTATACTTAACATTAATATGATTTGTATGGAAAAATGCAGAGCAATAAAATGACCACAGAACTCGGGGGAGAAGAAACCATTGTTTTTATAACCCGGTGTCTACCTCTTGGTTTCCTCTCCAGGAACACCGTGCCTGCAGCTGAAACCCAATCCTGTCGTTAGTGTAGATGTGGAGGGAGTTCTCTTCCTTTGTGGGCAGTGTGTATGTAGCATTAGTGCCTATAGTTTGCTTGGCCTTCCTGAGAAAAAGAGATCAGTGAATACTTTTCCTAAATGGAAACCACCTTGATTCAAAAACCATTCATCGTTTATTGGAGATGGTCCACATTTGAGCTTTGCGCACAGCTGTTCATTTAAAGGTTTTTTTCTGTTCAGTTTCTCACAGAGACAAGCCCTGTACTCAGCTTTGCTGTTAGCATCAGCTTTGTCTATTCATTTCCTTGCTAGTAGATTTCAAGCAGTTTTTCCCTTGTGCCATCTTTTTCCCCTCCTAGATGGAGGTAGGTATGGAAAGGCAAGTTTAAAGTGGGTGGGCTTAGGCAGTGGTTACATGTTGCAGAGAACTGACAGTGTATTTCTGGAAGAGATTCTGATACTGTTACACTTTCTTTAATGTTGGCTCATTGTAGCAAAAATGAGTGTAAAGCAGCAGCACATAAGGGCAAATAGCTGCCTTTTGGTGTAGAGTAATAGTAGAACTGGGAATATCTTGTAAAAGTCTAAAAAGAATTTACTAAGGATACCTGAAGGGATATGCTTTTCCCTCTTCTACCTGACCCAAACGAGATACTTGTTTCATGAACATTATACTATAATGTCCAAGTATGTTTTACAGTGCAGTTCAAAAGCAAAATTTAATTTTTTTCAGGTGAATCAAAATCTTGACCCACACAAATTTTGTCAACCATTGTGTGTCTTGTATAGTTTCACTTAGCAGATCAAAGGTATATACAAGTTGGTTTTTCCCACCAAATTACACATTTTTAATTTGAATTTTTGTTTTGTAAATTGCAAACACATCCTTATAGGTAGGCTAATTCAAGAGGAAAAATGATATAATTGATCCCAGAATACAAAAGATTACAGGACCATAAAAATATCTGAATTGGATTAGAGAAGGTTACTTAAAAGGTGGAAAGGGATATTTTGTCAATATTAGTGACAAAAAGATTTTGTAAAAGTAATTTCTAAACAAAATTGCATTTGATAATTTCTGTCAGGTGTAATTTTATTTGGATGATAATTGCTGTCAGGTGTAATTTTATTTGGATGTAGTGTACAAAAAAAGCAAGTCTTTTAAGAAAAGTGATTTTCTCTTTTTAGGTCCTAAACTCTTTTATAATGCTTTCTTTCTCATGTAATGTGGTGACAATTGAAAATTTTAACAGTTTTTTAATCTTTTAAAAATCAGAAATATAGAGTAAAATGAAAATTTTTAACAGAATTTAAGAAAGAGACCCATGATAATGTGCATTAAAGTATTAGAAAGAACGGGCCTGAATATAGACAAGAAATTAGGAATAATTTCTAGAGAGAGGTGGAAAAGGCAGTGTTTGGGGGGTTGGGCAGGGAATGTAGTATTAAACAATAGATTTTCTGGAAACGTTCATCTTGTATTCTCATTTAAATACGATTCCTGCCCTGGCCAGATAGCTCAGTCCTTTAGAGCTTTGTGCTGATGCCAAGGTTGCAGGTTTGATTCCTGATCAGGGCATGTACAAGAAGCAACCAGTGAATGCATCAGTAAGTGGAACAACAAATCCTTCTCTCCCTCCCTCTCTCTCTTTCTAAAATCAATGAATTTTTTTAGTAAGTGAATAAATAAATACGATTTCTATGAAATGAGAATTCGGTAGCTCCTACTAGTTGCATATCTAGTTGATGTGGAAAGTAGTTGTAAGGACAAATTTAGGTGTTGAAACCTATGGGACTCTGATAAATAAGTGTGTATTTATTTGAAAAGCTTTTGCAGTGACCAAGTGCGCAGGCGCGAAAGGGTCCCTCTTTTCTCTTCGCCTGTAGTTGGATTCTTTAGCTCCTTTTACCTTTTTCCCCCCACGTGACTTAGCCTGTTTTTCATGTTTGCCTGTGTTTTATTAGAAGGTGACCCCTGAGGCCTAAGGACTACATGCAGGCCCCCTTGTTGAGACAGTGTCCTGTGGGCAGTTTGCATTCTTCCACAACAGGCACAGGGCAGTAGGGTGCTCGGACCTGCCTGCCTGCTTGCTTATCCCGCGCCCCTCCTACTCTGGGCCTGCCACCTTCTCTGTTTTTGAAAGAAAGTTGTCATTAGACTCTGGCCAAAAGTAGATTTTGTGTGAAGGATTCCTCGTATAATAGAACCTGCTTTTCCACTTTCCTTGTGTGTTCCTGGAAATAAAGCTGTAATGTGTAAGTTTTAGGGAGAAGAAGTAAAAAAAAGGCCCATTTAACAATCTGATATACAACCCTTCTTGGGAAAATGTATGTTCTGCCCATACATTTTGTGTACAGTTTTCTTACAAAGCCCTGCCTATAGTTTGGATCAAATTTATATTGAATAATCTTTTATTTACTGGAATTTAAGAAATTCCGTAAACGTGAACTACATCCTGTTGTGTGCTCTGGAGCAGGGATGAAAGATGGAATCAAGACTTGAGCGGCAGCTTGCCCTCCCATGCCCTTGCCCACCCTCCCTCCTCGGGGCTGTGCTTGTCCCCTCTGCTTGGACAGCTCTTCCTCAGACACCCCTCTGCCTGGCCCACTCTCCCCACCTTGCTCAGATCCTTCTCATGGAGCCTGGCTCTGCTCACCTTATTTCAACCTGCCCCTCTGCTTTTGCAAAGCCTTTATTGTCTAAACTGTTCATTTACTTAGCACACTGATTGTGTCTTGCCTGTTCCCTGTGGTAGAGTGTGAGCTCCATGAGGGCAGGGATCTCAGTTGTCCCGCCATCGTCCCCAAGTATCTAGAACAGTACAGTAGGTTCTCTGCGATAGATGCTTGTTATTGAAGCTCAACGTCTAGCTATTTGACGTCCACGTGACTTTTGAAATTAGCCACATGCCTTGTGTGTCACATGCAGGCACATGAGCCTGTGAGGGCCCACGCCTGGTTTTGAAGTCCCGGTTCATTTGTTGCATGATTCACATCTGAGGCATGTTGCAGCCCCGGCCTTGACCGTTACCTGCTGTGTCTCCAGAGCTGCTGTCACTCCCCATGGGTACACAGGCAGTTCTGTTGGCGGGAAGGTGTGTGACGCTGATGGTGTGCTCTGCCCTCTACCTAAGCGAAGTGAGCAGAACACATGTCCAGGTCAGCAAGTGTCCTCAGAGGCAGGTTTTTTGCCCTCTCTCCCCTTCTTTTAGCTGGATTTTGATATGAGGGCCACACTGCGTTTCCCCACAGCCCAGAAAAGGCCCTTTTTGCCCCCTTTGCAGGAACCTCGTCCATGTTTTACAGGTGAAGGTGTCGATGGGAGTGTGTCCTGCTCCTTAGGAGAGACATCCTGTTCAAAGACGATACTCGAGCTCTTTCTGCATCGGGCTGCTCAGACTCTGGCATTTGATTCCCGCACACACAGCCCTGTCCAGCCCTGGTTCCATGTGTCCTCTTGTACCCCAAGAAGCGAGTCAAAGGGGTGGAGACTTGGGATAGGGAATGAAACTATGTCTTCCTTCCATAAGGAAGCTTCTCCAGTGGGGCTGTTTCTCAAGGCAATATTTTGAGATCCTTTCAAGTCAGGCTAAAGCAGAATATTTAGACTGGTGAGATTCTGGGACCATGTTAGTTTGTATAGAACATTGAAATCCGCTGCCTGGAGAGGTCACTTATGAATCTGAGTCCATAACCCATTTCCATCCCCTGTCCACACACCCCTCCGTCTCACAGCTCTGACCCTGACGGTGGATCCCAGGTCCCACTGGGTTCACATCTGAAACAGAAAGCAGCCCGGCCGGGCGTGGCTCAGCGGTTGAGCATCAACCTAGGATCCAGGCG